GTGCCAGGCAGCAAGCTGCACCAGCCAGCAGGCCGAGAGTGCAGATTGGTCGGCAGCGGACCTTCAGACCGTGCAATGCACCTGGTCCAAGTGTTGCAGCTAAGCTCTTCCACTGTCTAGCAGAGTGACAAGAGCTCCGAAATTCTCAGGGGACACTCAGCTGACCCCATCTGCTGACTTTGTGAAAGCATTTAGGAAGGCTGAGCTGGAAGGTGAAAGTCAAGGAAACAGCACAAACAAGACGTACCAGCATAAGAACACGAGGCTCAAAGTGAACTTTGGAAAGAGGTGCAAAATGAAGGCCAAAAGTATGGAGCACACATGTTGTATAGAGAAGATTCTGTTGGGCCAGTGATACTGCATTCTTATTATTGCTCTTTGGCTGTGTGTGCACCTGCTTTTAGAATCAACAGTGGTTCTTTTTTCCCCGACATTCGGGAGAAAGAATGCAAAACTGTAAAGAACCCTCCAAAGAAGCCAAGGCCCACCAAGTTTCCACCACTGCCTGTGAAGGGTGAAGCTGTAAACTCGTTTGTTTGTAAAGGCATCACCATCAACACTGGTCCAAAGGCAGGTGAAACGCTTGCTGATGAGGCTGTTTTAAAGAAGCCCCAGCCACCGAGAAGCTCCAGGAAGTCCATCTTCGTCCAGGCTGCAGCTCCTGTGCCCAGGCCACAAGCGAGCTCACTGGACGTTACAGTACAGGGTGTGGCCATTCCACTCAAGATGTGTTTCAGTCCTGCTGGACATGAAGATCTGAAGATCCGCCTGACTCCTCCTCCATCACCTGTCCTTCAGCCAAGCCCTCCTCCTCAGCCATGTCCCCACCGTGCCAGGCAGCAGGCTGCACCAGCCCACAGGCCGAGAGTGCAGATCGGTCGGCAGCGGACCTTCAGACCGATGCCATACACCTGGTCCAAGTGGTGCAGTTAAGCTCCTCCACTGTCCAGCAGAGTGACGAGAGATCCGAAATTCTCAGGGGACACTCAGCTGACCCCATCTGCTGACTTTGTGAAAGCATTTAGGAAGGCTGAGCTGGAAGGTGAAAGTCAAGGGAACAGCACAAACGAGACGAACCAGCATAAGAACACGAGGCTCAAAGTGAAAAGAGGTGCAAAACAAAGGCCAAAAGCAGGAAGAGATGCAACGCCGTCACTGAGGATGATGATGGTTCTCAAGGACCTGATGTTGCTCCCTCAGTGAATGAGCAGGAAATCATCTGCTTCCTGTGTGTCCCATCTCCCCAAGCCCCAAGTAGGAGGATGAAGAAGAGTGGGAGTTGAAGCTGCTGACTTCAAGACAACAAGCACCAAAGTATAAGAAACCACCTACCACCCTGATGCCCAAGACCAACACTTTCAATTACTACAGAAGCACCAGCAAAATAAGTAAATAAATAATTGCATTGAATTCTGGGGTATTTTTTCTATTTGTTATATGCATATATTCATTTTTATAGTTGAGATTCTCTTCAGAAGCAGGACAGTTTAATCTCATGTAGTTTGTTATAGTGAACATTACACTTTGATTGTTTGAATATCATACCGTCCTCTTAAGTAGCTTCTTACAAAGTTCGTAGGTCCTTTAAAAGTACCAGAATTAAAATGTAGTTAATTCCATCAGTATTGCCCTCTGTACGAAAGGTTTGGTATTATAAAGCCTCACCAAGTGTAAACAGTGTTTCTGTAGAACATACAGTTATGCTGTTTTACATTCCATTTTAATAAATAAATAAACATATAACAACAGAGCAGAGAAGAAATCTGTATGGATGTATGGAACAGCCTAAATGAATGACTTCAGGGCCTGTCTAAATGAAATATTGACGTTGTTTATTGGAAAAAAAAGTAATGAATTAAATTTACTTGATTCAGGTGCACCTATGCCCCTTGGCCAGAGTTAACCAGTGAATGACATTGGTAAATTTGACTTAATAATTGTGAAAGATTGTTTTAATATTTAATGATACTTTTGCATTATCACCATATTGGACAAGCTAGAGAGACAGCTTGCTAACACATTACATAATTACATTAAATACATCATAAGACAAATTAAAATTAATAAAGAACTATTGTAAATTAATAAACTCAATTTAAAAAAAAGTATAGCTGTTCTTCCTCTCAATCCCATTTTTAAAATTCAATGCAGAGAGAACTGAACTGTGTTCAACTTATGTAGCAAAAGGTCTGAAACAGTGATTTCATATCACAGTATCTCTCTTGGATAAATCAGTCTTAAATACAGTTTGCGTCACATCAACAGCACTTTGCAGCTAGAGCTGTCAGAGCCATCATGTGGATCAAACATGTAAATACACCTTGAGTGCTATTTCTATATGCAGTAGTAACATTTTTGCTCTTTGCAATGTTTTTTGTGTGTTTTATAGTTCATACACATCATGTACAGATGTTGACATGCATACTCTTAAAAAGATGTTTCTTTAGTAAAGGAAATGTTCTATTTAGAACCATTAGTTCTATGTAGAACCATTTCATGCTTAAATGGTTCTTTGCATGGTGAAATGGTGGAGAATGTGTTGCAAATGGTTCTATATAATGGGTCTCAATGACATCAAAACAATAGAAGAACCCTTTTTGGTGCTATATAGAACCATTTTCAAAAAGGTTTTTTATAGAACCATATACAACACGTTCTCCATCAATCTGAAGAACCATTTCACCATGCGAAGAACAATTTAAACATGAAATGGTTCTATATAGAATTCATGGTTCTAAATAGAATGATTGCCTTTACTAAAGAACCTTTGAAGAACCATCTTTTTAAAGTGTGTACCTACAGTGGACAAACCACTTTTCCTTCAAAATGACACTTTGACAATACCAACTGTATTGTGATCTGTCTTTTCTGATCTGGATGAAAAAGAAGACGTGAACAGTGAAGAAGGTTCATGTATGCTGATACAAAGTCAAATGGAATCAAAGTGTGAAACGGATAAAGGCCCTTTTTCACCAACTTACCAACGAGCTAAGAGTGACGTGAAGGTAAGTGTAAGTCAAGATTTAAGGTAATGCTGATGCAAAATGTACTTTGTGTGATAAATTAGCTTCTCACATTGTCTTTGTACTGCATGTGATCCCTTAATATTCATCTTTGAAGTCATTCTGTTCACAATAGAGTGTAGAGATGGTGCAGATTTGAACATTTTTTTAATCACTTTGTCTCAGTGTTTCCGAGGCAGAGTTCACAAATTACCCATGAATGAGCAGAAGCGTGTGGTCATTACTGTATAATTTTCTGGTCATTTTTGTATCGCCTTGCCTTTTTACAAAGCTGCAATTTCTCAGCAGGCCTAAGTGCAGGCTAATCAATAAAACACTTTGGGAATATTTCAAGAAATGGCCTCAAGAAAAGACAGATCAATGAGTGATCAATAACTCATGCTGAGTTCAGTGCCTGTTATGGTCACCATTAAATTGCTCAGAGAATGAATTTTATAATGGACATCATTAGATTGCCCATTGGGGGAATTGTGGTATCTATTAAACACACAAAGCCAAAACTGAAGACCTTCAACCTAAAGCTCCCTCATTACATACCAAAGAATATTGCGGTGACTTAAAAACGATTTGGGATAGTTTTGTAAAAGCATCTAAGTTCAATATTCAGTATTCTTTAAAACCTTTTTGTATGCATGCAAATATTATACTGCATAATCATAGATCTTGAAGTATTGTCCAGCAAGGAATTGTTTATTATTGTTCATCTATTGCAAATTTTAAACAAGTTATATCAATGCACACAATTCAGTACTATCCTATAGACTACACATAATGTCCAAAAGTATCCAGACGCTCTGTCTAAATAATGCATTAATTTACATTAAGGTTTCAGTTGCACACATTCAGCTTGTATAATCTCCATAGAAAAGCATTGCCAGTAGAATGGGATGCTACAGAGCAGCTGCACTTGTGCCTATGGTCGGCATGCCCAATGCTTAGTGTCAGCTAGAAGGGTATAAGTAATTGGGCATGTATGGTCCAGAACTAATAATTCAACATCACTACTTGTCACAGCAATGTTTCAACATCTAGGGTAAAGACTTCCCAGAAAAGTAGAGGCTGTTATTGCAGTAATGGGAGACAAACTCCCTATTATTAACCTTGACTTCAGAAGAAACACTTGGGCCCAATCCCATTTCTTCTTTTTGCCCCTACCTCTTGTTTTCGAGTGTCACCCTAACCCCTTGGAACTGAGTTACAAGGCGTAGTAGTTGAAATCTTGCCCTACGAAATGGGACAACCCTCAAATTAAAGAAAAAAAAAAAACTTGCTTCAATATTCATTACTAGCGGTGCTCTGTAGGCGACCCAGCCCGTCTTCAGTGATAGCAGAGAAGGGAAAAGTTCAGCAACCTCACTGCTGGGCTGTAGTTACATTTAGGGCATCACATGCTTTCAAAGAGGGGGTATCGCCCACCACTAATTCTTTGGTGATACAAAGCTGAAGTCAGTTATTCACCAGCTTCTTGTTCGAATTTTCCCGTTCCACCTTAAATAGTGCAGGGAAACAGGAAAGTTAGCTAGGTAGCTACGGAGACATTAGAATGTTATTGGCGATTTTTTATGCTTGTTATGAAGAAAACGACCATAATACATTGAAACGACATTAAACTAAGATGATACAATCTTTTGGAGCGTGCCTCTGAAAAACCTCCGTTTGGAGGGACGTGTAGCCCTAACGCTTCGCCCTACCCATCTATCTTAACAAAAATTGGGACACCCTAACCCTAGACGTGAACACGCAAAACAGAGGGCTAAGGGCTAAGTGGTAGGGGCAAGGAGTGAAATGGGATTGGGCTTTGATGAGCAGAGGTCTACAAACCTTTGGAGATATAGTGTGTTTCAAACACACATAATATTATTTTCCATTTAAAATGTGCTGCTCTTTTGTCTTATGATACACATTTACCTTAAGATTATTCTTAGCTTCTTTACATGCACACTAAAACCTCAAACCTGAATAGATAATATATATTATTCAATCATGTTGCTCCCTTTGTGTTGCTTCTCCAACGCATGAGCTGTCCTGCTGGTAACTGAAAGGTACCATCATGGCAAAGCTCTGGGTGGCTGTAGGTAGTAACTGATCTGTGAAAGACATAAAAATGAACATAGAAAATGTTTCTGTAGTTTCTTTAAAAGTATTGCTGTCATAAGAAAGCTTTGTCACTCTGAAAGAGAAATTTCATAGTACATAAGGAAAACCTACGTCAGGCCTAAACTGACATTTTGAAAGCACGTCTATTAAGCATGTAATGATTTCTGTGCATATCAAAAAATCAAATCTATCTTTTCTGAGAATCTCTCATTTACCATCTTGCATGGAAGCCACTGTCAATGATTAAAACTAGACATCTGGGTGCCTCCTATCAGACTAAAGTGGGGGAGAAGGGATAGGGACTTATGTTATTGCTGCATTCATGCTCAAATGACTGGGCTTTTCATAAATCAGTTATAAATTTTAGGGGTTGTAATTTTGGGGTTTATGTTGTAGGAGGGCAGGTATTGACAAAGTTCTTATGGTGAACCAATCTATGTAGTATATGATCAGAGCTCTGTAGACTGATTTTTAACATTTATAACATAAATAATTTTTTTAATTAAATCTTAAGCACAGAATTAAAAATCATATCAAACCTGAAAATATATGCACTGTTAGGCTTCATGTACACATGCATGTAAGCTGTGCGCATGGTGCAAACATTAATATATATAAACATTGATATGTAAACACAAGGCTCATACTTAGGCACTTATTTTTGCTGTAATGAAAACTGTATTGTTTTAAGACACTGTTGTATCTTACGGACTCTTATGTAACATTACACTCCTAATTTCTGTCAGCCCCACAATCTGGAAAAGGTCCTAAAATGTAATTGGCAGCGGGCATTAAAGTGTGGCTGGACAATGTGATGCAGCATAAATAAGACAGTAGTAAGTTGTTTTTTAAGAAAAGCTGCTGAATCTTAGTGACCCGACACTCACCGCTGATGTGCTGAGGCATGGCTGCAAGCTGAGCTGACTCTGGTTTACTGAATGGTGAGTAATGCAGCTCATCCAGCGTCATGCCAGGGTGCTTCTTGTGTCTTGCACGGCAGTTTTGAAACCAAACCTGTGAATGTGTTAATTCTTAACCTTAAATTCTAAGTGTAGTTATTGATAAAAAAATGACACATACTTTACATTATCGTGATATTCTTTTGTCAAGCCAATTTAGATTCACCAGTTTGTTCAGATAACATAAAAAGATGTTTTTGTTGTTCTGAATTATTTCAGGGTTAATGATCTTATAATCTTAAAGTTGTTTTTTTGTATAATTCAGTCAGTGAGATAAAGTCATTCAGAGTGTTTTGGTGCAAAGTCAATTAGATAAACTTACAGCCCTAGATTTTCTTTATAATGGTGGTGATAGGAATCAGGAGTTCAACATCTCCAATGCAAATATAGCCATTTTATTTGGTTTCCAAAGTAACCAGTGAACCTACTCGTCTTCTGAATTTTTACAAGTTGATAATGGTAGAATAGTGTTAAATTGAGTACTGTTTTGCCAACCTGCATGATTATGCCATAAATTCCTGTAAAAATACAGCTTAGACAAAAATCTCTAAAACGACGTCTCAGCGATCAAGCAACCTATTTGCAACAATTTCATGTATGTACTTTTGGTGAAACATTAAATGCTTCAGGCATTTGGTTCCTATGACCACCACTGGGAACAATTCTGACATTAAGTTTCTCCAGAGCAGTGCATTTTACATTAAACCACTCTGATAACTGTTTATATCTAAACCATTCATTTAAGCAGAAATTTTGAAAATTGGTGGAATTCTCCTTTAAGGCACCCAAATGGCTTTTATAAGCTTAAATACCAGATAATTTTTTACAGTGTCAATATGATGCTTGATAACTACTACGAATCCAATATATAAGGTATTTAGTTGTAAGAATGAAGAATGTGATGGACCCACAGACAGCATATCATCACTGTCCACAAAAAAAGTATCTCCATTTTTTGAGTGTATATTTTGAACTCATCAATCATCTGTTCATTACACTGTATGAAACATTCACGATCAGTGGACCAATACTTGGAATAAAACCTTTTAACATTACACATACTTTTCACATACTTTTTACATTAACTACATTACATTTTACATTAACTTACATTAAAAGTTAAGAACATTTTTTTCCTCTCCTGTAAAGTTACTATTTTGGAGATACTTATTTTTCTTTGGACAGTAATAATATCAGAGCTTAAAGGTTAATCAGAGTTTTTTGTTTTCACAGTTCCTGAATACAGAATGAAAGAATTGCTACAGAGCACTGCTTTACTTTACCATCCACAACATGTACATATATGTTCGCATCACTGCATGGTGTTGCTCTACCTGTATAACTCTTCGGCTCAGTCCCGTCATGCCTGCCAGTTTCTGCAGAGTCTGAGCATCAGGATTGTTATCCTGGGTGAACTGTATTTGCATGACCTGAGTAGAAAAAAGTGACTTGTAAGGGCAACATCATGATGCAGAAGCATCTATTCTTCAGTGTGGAACAGCTAGAATACCTGTAGCTGCTCTGGGGTGAAGGAGGTGCGGGCTCTTTTGGAAGGCTTCGACAGGTAGTCCGAAGATAAAGCTCCCTCTAGACCTGAACATTCGCAAGAGGGAAAAAAAATGATTTCACACACTCCTGTAATTAATATTTTACCATTACACTAAAGCAAGTATGTGACATTATCATAATTAACACTGCACTGTGCATAATAAGCTTGGGTACACTTAGCTTACACAAATACATTATTTAAAATGTAACAAATTAAAAACTAGTCAGGTTTGTCTTGTGAATAATACCATAACCCCCACATTTTATTCCCTTGTTGTGATATCAGGAATCATTAAGACTAAGCGTCTAGATGTTTTTCCATTTTTTTCCATTTAACTATAGTATGGAAAGAAAACTGTCAAATTAGTTTTTTGACAGATCCTACCAAGAAAGATACTTAGATAAGTGTGAAGCTGAGTTTTGTTAAAATATATCCAAAGTATTGATGAATAACGCTTTCATGCAGAAAAACGTTCTTATTTTGTTAAGTAGTAACAGCATTTACATTTCCAGGGACAATGCACAGTAATTTAGCCACTATAGAACCTGGACAGATACAGGACAACAGCACTGACCAGCGTTCATGCAGTTACTTATAACCTGCATGATGCATGCAGAAACCTAAGGTGTTGTAATGTAACAGCACAATTAACAGCAGTAATATCCCCAAATGTTTTGAACTGACCCTGCTCTGCTGCCACACTTTCCACCACAATGTCATAGTGTATGCGGCAAAGAACTCTGCTGTCCACTAAGCCGAACTCCTCTCCCGTTGACAGCTGTCTTTTGCAGGAGAAACATGCGAAGCAGGCCAGGTGATATGTGTAGTTTTTGGCTCTGCGGACCCAGTCAGTAGCGCTGACGTGATGGCCACACCAAGCACATTTAATACCAAAGGTACTGAAAAACAAATGAAGCTGCAATGAGTGTTTTCATTATCTGAGACCTCACATTATCTTTTGTTGTTGTAACACTTGGAGGTTTAAAACTATAGCAAGTACAAATTTATAAGTGCATTTAGTTCAAATGGAGAACTCATTAGTTGTAACACATTTACAGTGTCTTTTATCTAAACCTAAATGAAACAAATTCATTATTTTGATATAAACCATCTCTTAGATCTCATAGGTGACATTAGAAAAATAGGTCTTATTCACCAACCATTCTTAAGAAGAAATTTCTTCTTAAAACCCACTTATTCAGTTTTTGCAAAAATTCTGACATTCATCAGTGTTTTCTAATTTGGGATGAGTTCTTAGGTAAGAACAGAATCGAACAACCTCAAGAGCACAAAGGTGTGAACAATTCTGCGGTTTAAGAACGCGTCATGAATCTGACATAGACTTTTTCTCAGGACCTTTCTCAAGAACACATTTAAGCTAAAACTTTCACTGTTAGAAATAAAGGTTCTGTGCAGGCACATTTCTCCTTTATCAACGTACAAACAATGTAAATGTCAAAGGTACAACAGTGGTTTTAAGGTCCAATTATGTGTAGGAAGGTGTTGATGAATGAGGCCCAATGTTCTTGTCTTCTTATGTATTAATGAGGTCTACAATAACTTTGTTCTTAATAATAAATAAAGCCTTTTGCGAGTATTTTTACTGGCAGTCAGAATTTAGGTGCCTGTATTACAAAAAGTTACAGGGTCTTTCAATAAGAAATCCAAACAAAGCTCACCTGTTATAATCCATCTTACAGAAAATCTCCTGATTCCTGATGTAGCAGCTGTTGTGTTGATGTAAAGGTGTTCTGCACACGGAGCACTTCATACATTTTATATGCCAAGTTAAATCGTTCACCTGAAAAACAGTCTTCATCTGTCATCTGTTTCAGAAAGCACTTACTAATCAGTGACAAAAACAACCTATAAAACCATAGAACTGCTAGTACTCATCATCTGTCTATTTATATAATAGGCTAATATAAGATCATACAATATCATTTGATGGAATTGCAGTAAAAGCACCAGCACTAATTCTACTAACAGGATAATATTAATATTAATAACGATAATAATATTCATTTTCATTGGTACATTTATTACAATAAGTGCACTCTGTTAAGTCTTTTGCTGCTATTTCACAGAAGCTCATAAGCACCTTTAACAAGTATCTGTCCTGTATTTCCTGTGTACATCGAGCACAGATGGGAGTCTCCTCATTTAATGAAGATACTGGCGATGGTTCTTCTTTCAAACCGTCGTGTGTTCCATTTGAGATCGACTACACATAAAACATAAAAACATTTTCTTCATGCATTATGTTTTCCTTTTTTAAGTCAGAAGATGAGATTTATTAAGACAAAGCCCAATAGCCCTTAAGACTATAATAAATGGTAATAAAAAGACAATAATATTTCTGAAATAACATGACAGATAGTTGTCCAGTTTAAACTCACCATTTCTGAAGGTGATGGCCACTGCAGCAGCTGGGTGCTCTCTGGCCTCACCTTAAGCCTGTCCTGTTTTATAGGCCCCTAACAATGAGAAAACTGCATGGCTACATCAGCAGGCCCTAATTACCTCTGAACTGGAATCGATTAACTCCTGCTCTTAACCTGGAACCCTTGAAAATAATTATCTTACCTCATCCAAACCAAAAAACCTCCCTGCTCCCTGCAATTAGTAATGACTTGAAGTGCCCCGGTAAGGATGTAGTGAGAGTGTCAATTTCAGCTGTCCATCAAAAGGGATCGAGGCCATCCGCAGCAGCATAAATTCTGCCAAACAACTGTAGGTTGAAAACTGAAAACCTATATAGACGTCTGGCCTTCACTTTGTATGGAAACCACTGATTTTTGACAGATAGAGGAATTGAAAGGCAGGGAAAAAATTATAATGTACTATGAGAACACAGCAACTGAACACTGGAAAAGTTTTTTGTTTTCTTTAGTAAAGCAGTCCATGGGTACAGTTCTTCTTTACTCCTGGTTGTTCTAAAATGTGTTTGAAAAGACTTTTTACCAGAACAGCAACATCTCATTTACTATAAGACACTGTAAAAGATGACTTGTTTTCATTGTACAGAAATCAGTTATCCTTCACTATCCTATTAGATATTTTGAGAAAATCATGAGTTCTTCATCTGCACTCACAGACCAACATGATCAGACTGCTGAAGATTTCTGGCATGTAAAACAGAACTACACAAGAAAATGACGAGATCTTACACTTTTCTTATGGAAATGTAATTCAGACCAGGGTAGCCAGGGTAGAATATTTCTGTCCTCCTTAGGGAGATTGTTTTAACAGAGAGGGGAAGCCTGTTTTCCTCATAACCTCCTAAATGTTGTAAAATGCATATTGCATTTGCAGAAATGCAATTACACAGTTCATCCAGCAGGGGTCTCTTCAGGATCTCCAAACTGCCCTGCTCTTCCTTCAAAGACCACCAGTTCACTTCGATGCTCAGTTTATGGAGTTAAAAAGGTCTAATTGTGCGGACAGCATTGGTCACTACTGGTCGTTTTCACATACTTAAAACACTTGGTGACAGTGAAACGCGGGGTGAAGCTGGTAAAAACGCTTGCAACTCGATACACGTCTCGCAGTTTAATCATGAGCGCTCTGTTGGTGCCTGCGGGTCAGGGGCGGAGGATCCCTTCATATCCGCTGTAGAGGAAAGTGTACCACTTCACAGCTGTTTTCTCGTCGAGTCTGGTTGGCAGGACGTCCCACGTTCAGCATAACGTAATCCACTTTCCCGTAAAGGCATGCAGAGTCGAGTTTAACTAAGGCACATGGAAGGTTTCTTGCCCTGCACTGCTTTGGAATCATTTTGAGTCATTTTAAGTCATTTTCATTTCTCTTGACCCTCCAGGTCGAGTTTCTGCAGTTTTCAGGAGTTCGCTGTGTATTATCTTACAATGAAAGGTAAGCAGTGGAAATGTGTTCCTTCACATCAGAAGTTACAGATATTTTACTGTTTTTTTAAGTGGCCATTAGAATAACCTCAGCGTTTCTGTCCTCTGCAGTGAACCTGGTTCTTCTCCTTTGGGCATGTACCATGGTGCAGGAATGGACTTTATGCCTTGGTGAAGAGGAAAACTCGGTAAAAGCCAAAAATGGTACGTAGACAAACAATGGAACGCACCTTTTTGCCAGCTGTTTTTACTTGTTTCAACCTTGGCCAAGACTTGCTACAGTTCATACTAAAGGTTCTGCGTTGTTGCACTGACTTGATGTTTAGGTTTTGTGAACTTTCCCGATAGAGGTGGGCAATATGGCAAGAATATAGTATTGTGATACTATAGAAACTATAAAATACTATAGAAAATATTATAAACGATATGTCACAATATTAATTTTCAGACATCTGATCAGTTAGAATAGAGAAAAAAGAACCAGCAGTGCGACATTAAAAAAAATACTATCAAAAACTGTGAATACAATGATTTTTATTCACTATTTGGCATACTATATTGCACTAAATCCAGTTAAACATTACTAATTTTGCTCTCTTTATAATGAAACATTCAGTTGGTCAGTGTTTTACAGTGTTCAGAAAAGCATAATGTATTGTATTGTGGACAATTTATATACAATTGTAACTGCAACATTTAAAAATGTTGGATAAACTTTATAGTTTTATCTGTGCTCAGAAAGGTTAATATAAAGTTTAAGGTTCCATGCCAAAAAGAAAAAAAAAAAACACAGGGATTTCATTCTCATCTGAGTTTTTATGTCCCTGGAGGTATGTGTAAGGAGTGAAGAGCGTGTCTAGGCTTGAGTGGGAAGGGTTCATGTTATCAGTATAGGCCACCTACTTTTAAGCCAGATAAATGGCAGAGATGAAAGATAAATGGCAGACGTGTAAGATAAATGGCAGAAGTGTAAACTCTTTGACTGTTGTGGTTTATTAACACAAGAATACAGTATATGCTTGATGTTTTTTCTTACATTAGAGCCCCTTAATTTTATACCAGCCACAATCATTTGTAAATTAGCTACATTATTTGATTAATTCACAGTTTTGCATCACAGTTAATGAGTGAAATGAATGAGTGCACAGTTTTCTTATATTTCTATTTTCATATATTTAGTCTTAGCCAGTTCTCAAATGAAAGGCTGTTTCATTCTCTTAGAATGAACATCAGAAACACTGACCGCTCCGCTGACTGAATGCAAATATGTGGCATAAATAAGCTAAATTAAAAACTTTTTTTTCTATTGAAAGGCGAATGTTACCTCGGTGTCTCTCAGACGCTTTTGACATTATCTGTCGGTAAACTTTTTCTGTCAGTACAGGATTGTTGAGTACTACATCTCAGGTATTTCAAAAGAGAGTGCTAGGTAGGTACCATGTGAACTCAGAGACCTATAGTTGGGATTTTGCCATCTCTTTCATGCACTAAAAACGTTTCCCTTGGATTGATCCTATGGCTAAGGCACAGTTAGGATTCAACCCTAAGGCATGGAGCCATGGGGCATACCTCTGATAAACAGAAGTGTTACTTGCTGCTAGCAGGGTGATCTGTACTTCTCATTCCAAGCTCCTTCATGCAGTGTTCTCTATTCCCATCTGCATTTGCATGAAGGGCACATTTTGGGAATGTGTAACAGGAACTATTAAGAAAAATTGTTGGATAGGCTGGTTATCTCTCTTGTAATGCATGCAACCACATTTCATTCAGAAGTTGCGCTATTTTAGGCTAATGTCAGTCATTAAAGCAGAGAGAGGAAGCAACTTAAAAAAAAAACAGACACGTCTGTCACGTATCAGGCTTTACCAGGCTTGAGTTTTGTTCTTCATCCCCATTTGTTACATTAGATTTTGAAATAAAATGTGATGCATATACTTTTTACATCAATGTCCATTCTTTATCCTAATGAAACATTGTTGTATTATGTCTTCTTTTTAGTGAATCCTTGTTGCTACTACCCTTGTCAACACTGGGGCATTTGTGTGAGATACGGTCTGGATAGTTACGAATGTGACTGCACTAGAACAGGATATTATGGAAAAAATTGCACTATTCGTAAGTAAAAATGTCCTTATTCTTTTCACTTCTTCTCTCCCACACTCTCTTTTTTTTTGCTGGATAGTTTGAGTACCACTTTATTTGAAACATCAGAGTCCCAAGTCAATGCATGCTGACCTGTTTCCCAATAATAAGCACAACAACATTTGCTATATCGTAGTCCAATTACTACCTTGACTACTCTATCACAAAAAAGTTGCTCAAATTTTGTGAAATTCAGGCCAGAATGACCTTATTGGATTGTGACAGACCTGTTCCATACTGTTCTTTACATTAGATGCTAAACTAACTAAACAGACTGTTTTCAGGTAACATGGATTGGTGAAAGCATGTTTAATGGGTGTTTAGTCTTTTTTTGAAGTACAGCATTTGTATATAGTGACCAAATGTCTGCAGTAGGGTCTGCTATGAAGAAACTAGGGAAAAGAGAAGCACACTCATTCTCATTCGAACAGAATAAACAATACTGTTTTCATTAAGAAGATTGCACATACCTGGCAGACCTCTCGGGGTTTCACAGTAGCTCAGCCCCCAGGAGCATTTTGTGGGAGATGTGAACTGAATGCAGGTTCAGTATGATCTTGTGCAGCGTTCCTAAAAAGTAATTCTGTGTAAAATTTAATTTGCAAAAAGTTTGCAGTGCACCAAAACTGTGGTGGAAAGTCTCTGCAAACTACACATTACAACTATTGTAATCACAGTACTTTTGTTTACTTAAGTAGTTTCTCCAATATTTATACCCTGTTGATTATTTATTGAATGACCTTTTGTGCCACCATAGCATTTATTGAATGACCTTTTGTGCCACCTTGTCCAGTTACTGTCATATTTCACTGGGTTCCCACAATAACAATTCTGCCCATCGTGACCATTTTGCAGCGTTATTAATACAGATCATCTTGCATTCAAGTCTAGCCTTGCCACATTAAGAGTATGGGTAACATTGCGAGAGTATGGGCCACTACTGGCTGGCGCCCTAATGAGGCGTGGCCGTCAGCATAGAGGAGGCTTATGGAAGGCGAACACCCTCAGTGAAAGGGACTTAGATGTTGTTTGTGTTGTTGTTCGTCGGGTGGTGTGTGGCGTGTGTTTATTGTGTTGTTCTGTGTTGGTGAGTGGGTTTAATTAGTGTGGGTTGCTTGTCATCTTGAGGGTGAGGTGTGTGGCTGGTGCTTATCTCCCCACAGGTTCAGTGCTGTGTATGTGCTTTTCTGCCCTGGTGTTTAATAAAGAGCACTTCTCGTGGTGGAATCATGGCATCTCCTGTGTCTCACTCTACGCCATTGCTACAATATATTCATGTGCCTTCTCATATGAAAAGCAATGAATGATCAGAAGTGGTTACTTAAGGTTAGCATTGGGAGGGGATTAGTAAACATAGCTTTTTGTGTCTTCATTTGTATGAAATATAGCAAAATGCATTACATAATGAGACATTGGAAATATGAAAATGCAGAGTTCCCGATTAGGGAGCGGATAAAATTCTAAATGCCAGTAGTTCTAGCAGTGCACCATCCAGGAGAGCGGATATGCTGGTTCTATCTGGGTTAAAAATCTGGTAATATGGTAGTTGTTAGTCTCCCTGTATTCTGCTTGGAGTCTGCTCAGGTGATCAGCTTTACCTGGAATTTTTGGATATATTTCATAGGGAATATTATGTTGTGTTGTTCTATTTAGTTCTTCAAATGAAAAGTTCAGTTACCTTTCAGAATATGCGTTCTTCTGAGCTACCTTAATGACCAGGCCCATATCTCAGTTACATCAAATGTAACTGTGACATGGAAATGAGACAGAAAACCCTGTGCTATTGGCATTCAAGGATGTTAGCCACCATGAAATATCCAATAGCAATTTCTAACAGTTTTTTGCTATGGCAGAGACCCAAGCCTAACCTGCTTATGTACACAGAGCATAACTGCTGCAGCATGGAAGTTTATATGATACAGCTTTGAACTTTTACGGTCTGTGGATGAAGTAAACTTTGTAGCTCAGTTATCTAGGAATTTGTTCACGTGCCAGAAAATATCACTACAACCATGTTAACTAAAAATGATAATTTCACACTTAAATACTCCTACTATTAGGTGAAAGTAACACATTCCTGAAAGTGAAGATATTATCAGTTCTTTGACGGAAGATATTAAGCAAGGTTTCTATGCAGATTAAAAGCAGATATCACTGCTTGGATATCTTCTCCAGAAGCACGCAACCCATAAACAAGGCTTGCAATTCAAAACCAGCTTATGGTTACTGATTACTAATGGGGAATAAGTGGAGTGAGATGTCAACTTTTCATGTGAAAAATCATAAGTCTACAAAGATTTTCTATCCAACGTACTAATGTTGGGTCCAAGCACAAAGTTATTTTATTTTATTTTATTTTATGTATTTTATTTTTCCTGGTTGAAACAGCTTTCACTGGACCATCCATAGAGTGCATGAATACATGGCTTGATCTTATAAAGTCTCAGTCTTTGGGAGGTGCTGTGAAATAAACGGTTCATAACTCCTAAGTCATGAACAGCAGAATCTGAGTTTTGCTTTTATGGCTTTGTTTTTTGAATCGTTCAGACCTCCTCACTTGGATTTGCATTTTTTCTAAATATTTTCACGTGACACTGCAATCGCATAACTTTGGGCAGCCTTCCAACTTTTGTGAATTTGAGCTCAAGTCACTTATAAGAACCAGAGCTTTAATTATTATCCCAAAAATCATCATAACGTTGCCACGCTTCAAAACCTTTTAGCAGGTGCTGCTAAAAAAAGATCCAAATGCTTTGTCCAGTCCTTGCCAATCTTAACACACAGGTTATGCAATGTGACTTTGACAGAGCATGTAAATGTTGACAGACTTTGGTCATTTTTTTTTTTAGCAGGAAAATTTAAAACATCTGAAGTTCTTGCACGTTTTGTATGATCCTCACCAAACTTGACAGTGATGTGCATTATATTGCCCTCTGTCTGTATAAAAATAATGCTGAATTTACACATCTGTGGGAGACATAGCACTGAGATGCTTTTTTTGTAAAACAGATTGACTTCTGAAGACGTGAACTTTCAGGCTGGTGTTCACCACATTTCGGCACTGATGTCTCAAACAGTCATGTTTCACTTTCACATGGCAATGATAAACAGGTTTGCAGAGTTCTCTGTAAGAGCCCCCAAAGTGGGTCACCCTGAGCTTTGAACCACTTCATTGCCATTTGATAATTGTAGTTGTATTTTTGCCCATGTAATGTCGGGTCAGATTTTCTAGCTATTAAAACTTCAGTATGACTCTTTTTTGTATTTTGAGCATGCTTCCCTTTGCCAGCACAATTTACATAATACATTCAAACACTTTGCAGTGTCATTAAACATGTTTTCTTGTGGGCCATTGAACTGTTCAGACATATTTTTGAAGAGCGGTACATACAATCAGTAAAATTTTCTCTTGTGTTCCTCATAGCTGAGTTCTGGACCAGAGTCTATGAGTTCCTGAGACCCAGCCCTGATTTCACCCACTACATCCTCACCCACTTCCACTGGTTATGGGACATCATCAATAAAACATTCTTGAGGGACATGCTTATGCGAGTGGTTCTGACAGGTCAGTAACCCAGATAAGAACCTGCTACTTGCTTGTACAGAAACAGTGTAATTCAGTGGTCTTACCACACACACACACACACACACACACACACACACACACACACAATATCTAAAACGCTTATCTTTCTTGGTCGAGGTGGGGTGGTGGAGCCTATCCCAGCTGTCAGTGGGCGGAAGGCAGGATTGAAAGCATCTATAGCTCTGTTCATCATTCTAAACGCATCTGAAATTTTGCACAATATCTTTTTGCAATCTAAGAAGTTGCATCGTGTTACAATATGTAAATAAATATGCTAAAATAATATTCAAATCATATTTAAATATATATATTGAAATAAGTAACAACTCAAAATTTGTTTCTCTTTCTCCTGCAGTCATATGCAAAAAAAAGAAAATGCAGTGTGATTGCAGATCTTAATCAATTCCCAAATGGCTGCTAGGGTGTGTCTGGGCAGTTACTATGGTATTTTAGCTGCTTGCTGTGGTGTCCCAGCTGGTTTCAAAGGAGCTGCTAAGTGGTTGCCATGCTATCCCATGTGGTTATTAAGCTGTTGCTAGGTGGTTGCTAGGTTGTTGCTAGGTGGTTGCAGTGGTACCCCACATGGTTAACTGGGTGCTGCTAATGGACTTGTATTGTGACAGAAGTTGGATGCACAAACTTTTGCACCCCATTCATTCCTAAGCGGAAAAATCTTCATATAATGTTGATTGTACATAAACCAAAAGCAAACAGAAAGCTGAACAAAAGCGCATTATTCCTGAGCAGACCGACCAATCTGGAGGTGGAACGGTGTCAATATCTCAAAAAATGTGGGATGAGTTAGCGGACAAAAATCCAGCAGAAAAATAATAAGAAAAAGAAGAATATAAATTGGATAACAATAGTGTTGCGCACTGCTTTGCGATGTTCAATCACTAATACTAACAACACATCCTCTACAGAGCATTTTTTCCTGAACAATTTTTATTTATTTGCTGAATTTAACATGCTGGAAAAATAAAGCATGAAATATAAAATGTGCCAGAACCTTTGCACAGGCCACATTTTTTTCCCCCCAATGTGTTAAATCTAGCAAATTAACAGTAATTGTCCATTAGGAAACATATCATTTGAACAAGGGTACCCAAACCTTTGCATACAACTGTATGCAATTAAGGGAGTTTTTACTAGCAGCCACTTTTGTTCACAAGTTCACAAGCATGTTATTGCAAGACATCTTTTTACAGTGACTGCAGTCATAGTTGCTAGAGACCAGTAAGCCACAGACCTCAAACACCGCTCACAGTAATAACACTTATTTTGAAATATCACCATTTCAACTCTCCAAGCCACATTTATAAATGTAAGAAGGCACAACACGTTGCATGAAATTCTTTCCTGAGATATTTTTTTAGCTGGGATAGAACGGGGCTCCTGTAGAATGTTTTTATGGGAAAGAACTTGACTAAACTTGCATTTTTTTCTTCTGGTCCAAGCTTGTTGATCACTTCTCTATATCACTGTGCCTTTTTAATCCCACGCCTCACAAGCATAGCACTATTAGTAGGTGGTCCTATATGTGGTTTCTGTTATTAGAGCCCTAGTGATCTAAGTGTTAATTTCAGAGTGCGCTGCGACAGCACCAAGGCACACTTTCTCACATACATCTGGCCCTCAGGGTAGCATAGTAGCTTGTCCTGTGATATAAACACAAGGCCATACACACCATCAAACATCCCTCACAATCTGCAGACAGATCCTTCACAGCTGATGGACATCAGTCCAGGCTTCAACACAGTGTCCAAGATAAATATTTGCAGAGTGCATATTGGTTTGGGATTTAGTCATCATCCATTGCCTCACTGAATCACTTTGTGTAAATCAGAATCTGGTATGCTCTGTGTATTCACATGGACTTGCATCTGGGATGTGGATGTATGAGACATAGAGGCTCAGTCTGGAATCGGTACAGCTAGCTCACCCGTTCCAAACTTTAACTTATGCAGAATTGTCTCTGGTTTTGAGCATATCACAATTATTTTGATAAGAAAAGGAACTCATCTGATATAAAAAGAGAACTGTTTATGATCTGAATACTAGACCCGACTAAGCCCTCAGCCCTTGCTGTGTACATAAATACAGTTTAGGATATAGAATGTGGAAATGCATGGTGATATTGTGGTTGAAACTTTGATGCTTGAATAGACTGTATATTTACCAGCATCTCTGCCACTGGTGGGCCAGTAGTGGTTCTCATTACTGGACCTGGAGTACCTCTGCTCCGTGCTCTAACTCACCAAATCCAACTAATCAACTAATTAACAAGCCCTGAGTACAAGCTGGTGTGCTCAGGGAAAACATTTGAAAAAGGGCTGGTGACCACCAGCCTATAGGCAGTTGCATAACTACTGGGGATGATGTGGGGGCAATCGCACTGGACCCATGGAGACTTACATCTTTATTAGGCATGTTACATAGACACACAACCATGACTCACAGAAAGATCCAACATACCTCATTGGTTAGCTTCTGTCAACACATAGAGATGATGCTGTTTATCTCCCTCTTATTATAATGCATCTCATCCATGGTAACCATTTACATATGGATCTTTCACAGCCTGCCACATGATTTATTCATAAATTATATTTTTAAAATCTTAAAAGATCAAAATGATTATATTCAAGTAATGTATAAAAACTTTATCAACGTGCATATGTTGCACAGCAGAGGTCCTCAATAATATATGCAACCTTCTTGTTTGGCCAATGGCAGGTCAGACGGCTAAATATGACATGTAATTATTGTGATTTAAATAAGACATCTAGCATGACCATTTTGGTTTTTGCTAGATACTAGTGGGTGGAGTGGCATGCCTTGAGAGCATCACCTTTTTTACATGAGAAAAATTAGTAAACAACAAGTTACGTTGTCTTTTTTAATTCATTAAAAAGTGAATTTTGAATGGAGGGACCCATCATCTTTTTTGGCACTGGGCCTTATCCTAATTACACCACTGCCTACACGATAATAGTGCTGGAAGCTATCCCTAAATGTTCATCATGTTATAAAATTCTGAGCTCATTCTAAGACAGCTGTTGATCTATTACCACAGTGCTTGTTTGGAGCTTGAAAATGGAAACTCCATTTAGCAATAGCTGATTCCCAGTGCAGTTGGTTTGGACAGCAGCATCACAAATCTGGGAAAGTTTTCTTTTCAAGTTACGGTAATTCTTTGTTTTGTGAGGTGAAAACCATATTTGGTAGCAAAGCTGTTTTACTTGGCAGCATCTAAATTCTTAACAGTCTTTCAAGTCTACCCACATAGCTAAACTGAAACACCTAGCAAAAACTAATCGTTAGTCGTATCAGCTGCTGTTTCCTTTGAAGAGAGGAAGGTGGGGGTGAGCTAATGGCAGGGTTTTGGCTCCTTTTCATGCAGCTGTAGACATTTTTTCACCACAATCTAACACAATCTAAACGTCTAAACCCTAGCCCCTTGCCAAGAAAGAGAAAGACGTGTTTAGCTTGTGCAATTACTGGCGTTCACTGCTCCAGTGTGTTGAGATGGATCCAAAAAAAATTGCTACACAAGCATAGTATTATCTGCAAATAATTTTTGCAGAGGGTAGTCTTTCCAGAAATGAACATAAACATTCTCTGCTGTGGGTGTAACATCTTGTATAGAGCAGAAGACCACACAAGTGCACTTAAATCATGAAAGCAGCTCATCAACAAGGAACAGACCAGTGTTTACATTGGCCATTCAATAGCAGTGAAAACAAACTTTTAAGTTCTTTTAAGTTCCGTAGCCTTTTCCTTATTTACTTTAGCGCTAAATATCATTTCTTTTATCTAATGCGCCTCTTGACTCAGACATAGTCAAAATGGACAGTTGCCACTCTTAGAAGTAGCGCTTATTCTGTGTTCTGTGCTCTGTTAGCATGGTAGTTCAGATGATATTGTAGTCTTGTGTTCCCCTATAATGTCTAAAAGACCCTCTACTGACATAACATCCTGCTCATATTTACCCAGTCTCTGCCCCGCTTTGAGGCCCTGGGTGACTGTTGATTTACCACTTTATCACTTCCTCCCATAATTCTGCTAAAGAGCGTTCTCTTTCCTCTTCTGGAACAAAATCTGGCAAGTGGATTCTTCATATTCTCAGCGGCTCTCATACTTCGACATGGCAGCCTGTGTTAGAATCAGGGAGGAGATAGCCCTTTCATATTTCTTACCTCCTTTTTATGAGACTACGTTCACTCCAGTGTCAGTTGGGCCTCCAGTTGCTAAGGTGACTCATGTTCGCCACAGCAAGCCTTCACATTCCTCACATCTTGCTGCTGCTGCTGCCGCCAAGACTTTCTGGCACTAGAGGTCTTTCTGCTATCTCCGCGATTAACCCTCCAGAGCTGTGCGTAAGAGATTACGTAACTTTAGCACAAAGTAACAGACAGAATAGCTCAATGAACGACCACATATTTTAGCCGTTATGTAATCTCTTGTAATTTGTTCTAATTTGCTGCTGAAGGCGCACACTTGGTGCCCTGCTCAGTTGTAGTTTGTGCAATCTTTGTGCTTGCCCAGATTGATTAGCAAGTACTCAGCAAACATAATTCCAACTGAAAGGCAACAAATGAGGAAAATATAAGAATCCTGGAGCACAGAAATAAATGCACAATACGAGACACACCAACAGTTCTGTATGTTGGTATAGCTGTAAATTATTAGACTAGCTAAAGGAAATGGGGCCTCCCAGGTGGCACGTCTAGTTGACGAGGGTTGCCTCCTTTCACCGGAGACAAGCTTGAATTCCAGTGATACCACACCCATTTGTGGCCAGGAGTCCTAGAAATCACAATTATTTACTGAGATTCACCACAAATACATCATGAAGGTGGTATAGAATACCTTATTTTAGGTCTAAAAGGCCCTAGCAGACATTCATTCCTGAATCTGTTCAATCGCTCAATCAGCAGAGATTTTTTTCTCTGCTGAGAGTTCTTTGGATGATAAGGAGTGTTATGCAATGTTGTCTGCAATTTTATTGTGTCATGTGCTCTGTCTTGTATATAATGTTTCTTTTGGATGCGTATTTGTATATGTATTAGAACAGAAAAGCTTAGGACACAAAAAATAGGGGAAATCAGATAATGAAGTAGTATAATACTGCATTTTAACTGGCCCTTCTGCTATCTAAGTGGAAAGGAATTCCACTCTCTTGTTGATCTCCATCAGTGTGTACCCAGGAATTGGGCATGTGGTATGTTCAGCTACTTTATGTTGTTGTTTGAGTGTTAGTTTGAGCAAATGTGGTGGTGGTTTGGAGAAAGCACACATTCCCAGCCCTGTACTATACGAGAAAAGAGATTCAGACAGTAATTGAAACTAACATTGTAGATTTGGGCAGAAAAGGAAGGAAGTGTAAAAAATTTCCAATAACATTGGCCAGTATAATTTTAAATGGTGAAAAATTAAACAAACTTTAATAGTGAGTGGATGGCTGATATATGAACTGCCAGAGGATTTTAGGTCTCAAATGTAAAAAGATTTATCCGTTCATTACAAATTGAAGCAAACCAGTTGTATTATTTTTTTTCCTACAATAATTTCACAGAATCTTAATATTTACCAGTTTTATCTTTCAAACAATATACTGGTCAGGCCCTCCATTAATCATGAGATTGGAGTTGAAGAATTGGAGAATTATTAGAGATTTATATCTTTTACATAGTAACTTCATGGTGTTATTTTTCATTTCTGTGCATTAGAGATCACAGAGAGAGTTCTCTTTATAATTATCATTTATAATATCAAATTCATTCCATTGTTATAAACCTCTGTCCTCTCACAGTGCGATCCAACCTAATCCCTAGCCCTCCTACCTTCAACTCCAAATATGACTACTTGAACTGGGAGACATATTCCAATAACACTTACTACACTCGAATCCTGCCACCAGTGCCACTGGACTGTCCAACACCTATGGGGACTAAAGGTAAGCTTTAAGTCCTAAAAGACCAATGAGTAATTTCTGTCTAAAACACTGTGGCATGGACAGATCATGTCTGAGTGCCTCTACCTTATTGCCTCCACAGCTGTAACTGATATTTCATTTCTCTGCAGGGAAAATGGAGCTCCCAGATCCCAAGCTGTTGGTGGAGAAGTTCATGTTGAGGCGGAAATTCAGGCCGGACCCTCAGGGAACAAACCTGATGTTTGCCTTTTTCGCTCAGCATTTCACCCACCAGTTCTTTAAGACACACAATCGCGTGGGGCTGGGCTTCACAAAAGCTCTCAGCCATGGGGTAAGGCCTTTCATAAGATCCCTGGATAATAGCAGGGGAAACGTTTGATAGGGTTAAGTACGCTGCCAAAAACATAGGAAATGTCTGTTGTCCTTCTTTCTTTGTCTTGGCATAGATATACTAACCCATTTAACAACTGACTTGATAAGAGACTTATCAATCCCATAGTAATATCTGTACTAACATGCCAACCATGAGGCCATTTAATCATTTACTGAACACTTACCTGTAGGGTCTCTCTGTAAATGAGTACATGTTTTAATTTCACTGTTTACTTTCATTAGTTTTCCACTAAGGACTGGGCTGGAAATAGTAATATTGAATGTGAAGGAGAACCTTTTGAGTACAGCTGTTTGAATCCCCGCTGATTCATATAACATATATCCTACGAGCAGTTCAAACATTCTAGGATTTTCAAACATTCAAACATTTTATAAACTTTCTTATGTCTTAATTTATATACAGGTGGATGCTGGACATATCTATGGAGATAACCTTGCACGACAGCTAGATCTTAGACTTCATAAAGATGGGAAGCTGAAGTACCAGGTACTGCTGCTGGTGTGAAATGTTTCAAAATCATCAACAGTGCTAACCTCACCGTGACTCGGAGTTTGTAAAGTACATGTCAGCCAGTACTTATCAAGTCTGAAGTATTCTGAAGTAGCAATACATACTGATGACAAAGCATCATGCATAGATATATATGCATATATTTTTTTTTTCTCACTTGTTTTGACCACATCAATATGTCTCCCTTGCCACAGCCAGACCTCATCCTCTTAATAAAATTCTTCATGCTTATCAACCATGTTAAACCTCTGATTTATCATTCCATTACATCCTGTGAAGATGTTGTAAAGTGATATATTTTTCTAGCCTTGCACCACTTTCTGGATTGTGTAGACTGAAGGCAGCGTTGAGGTTTCTGCTGAACCTCAGAGACTAAATATGAAACCTCAAACAAATAAATCAAGCAATAAGAGGGATGATGTGAGCTGGGAACTAATATATTAGTGTATTGCTTGCTTTTTTCTGCTAGTTTGAAATGCTCACCTAAACATTTAGAAATCTGTATATTTGTACTTGAGTAGAGAATGTAGCTGATGTGTCTAAAGAAATCTTGAAATTTTTGCTTCCTTTGAGAAGAGACTTGTTGTATTACCTTTGTTTTGTGAATTTCATGTCTTTTAATGAATACTTCTGTTTTGGTTTGTATGCTTACACAGATCATAAAGGGAGAGATGTACCCACCTACAGTGGCAGAGGCAAAAGTGAGCATGAGTTACCCTCAGTCAGTCCCTCCAGAAGAGCAGTTGGCCATAGGCCAAGAGGTGTATGGCCTGCTGCCAGGCTTAAGTATGTATGCCACCTTGTGGCTGCGCGAGCACAACCGTGTTTGTGACATCCTGAAGAAAGAGCACCCTACCTGGGAAGACGAGCAACTGTTTCAGACAACCAGACTTATTATTATAGGTAAATAGCCAGTACCCGCCACAGCCTGTACTGTTTAGCACTAACACTCTGACAACTGAACAAATCACTGTTGTAACAAAACCTCATATCTCTGAAATGCTAACTTTACAGGAGAAGGACAGACATGTTTTAATATAAGTTAATAAAACAATAATTATATTTCAGGTTATTTTGGACCATTTTTATTGAGCAAATGGTGTAAAATAAAAAACAAACAAATAAAAAGAAAGAGTAACAAGGTTTTGATATGACAGTGATGATATACAGTAGCACAGTTTATTTCATATTATTTGCTTTATTGGTTTGCATATGGCTGGATCTAATGTTTTCCAGGTGAGACTATTCGGATTGTGATCGAAGACTACGTGCAGCACCTGAGCGGCTACCATCTGAAGCTGAAATTTGACCCGTCCTTACTCTTCCGCGTACAGTTCCAGTACCAGAATCGCATCGCTGTGGAGTTCAACCAACTCTACCACTGGCACCCACTCATGCCTGACAGCTTCTTTATTGACGGAGCTGAGATCCCCTACTCTCAGTTCATCTTTAACACCTCTATCCTTACACATTATGGAGTGGAGAAACTGGTCCATGCTTTCTCAACCCAACAAGCAGGGCAGGTACGGTTTGCTTGGGGATCCTTTGAGATGGATGTATTTTAGGTATAATCTCTGTGGTTTATTTTACAGGGGTTGACAGTGAGTTTCAGTGGCTTGGGCAGATTTGTACTAAAAGGCTAAGCCTGTCTGAAATGTAAAGTTTCATCCCAGTGTCTGGTTTAGTCCCCTTTTCATGCTACTTTAGACCGTGTGTGCAGTCTAAAGTGTGACTTGCTGATCATCTTTTTGCTGGAACTGTGACATAGCTCAGGATATCTTATAACTGATGCATCATCACTGTGACTTCCTTTTTAACTGACTGTGTTCCTGTTGCCCACTGGCAAACAGGTTTGTCTGTAAATAATGTGCAGAGCTTGAATGCTTTACAATCCATAATTCTTAATATTTATCTCAGTCATGCACCTGCACACACTAGTTACTCATAACATCAAAAAAACTCTTTGTTTTTTCTTCCCAGATTGGAGGTGGTCGTAATATCCCCCAGGTGGTGACCAGAGTAGCTGAAGGAGTTATTAAAGAATCCAGAGAACTTCGACTAAGGCCATTCAATGAGTATCGGAAGAGATTCAACCTGAAACCATATACATCGTTCTCTGAATTTACAGGTACTCACACACACATATGTATGATCGTATTTTAAATCAAAAGTGTACTGACTCATACACTCATCAGGGTTCCACTCCTGTCAGCAAAGAACAGAAATCTTAGGCTCCAGTGGGCACAGGCTCACCAAAACTGGGTGGATGAAGACTGAAAGAACATATCCTGGTCTGATGAATCTCGATTTCTGCTGAGTCACACTGATAGCAGGGTCCGAATTTGGCGCCAACGGCATGAATCCATGTGCCCAGCCTGTCTACAGCCCAGGCTGGAGGAGGTGGTGTAATGGTGTGGGAAATGTTTCTTTGGCACACTCTGGGCCTGTTGATCATTAGAAATCATGGCTTGAATGCCACAGCCTATTTAAGTATTGTTGCTAATTATGTGCATCCCTTCATTGCCACAATTTATGTATCACAAAGCGAATGTCGCCTTTAACTGGTTTCATGAACATGACAATTAGTTCAGTGTTCTTCAGTGGCCTTCATAGTCACCCGATCTGAATCTAGTACAACACCTTTGGCGTGTGGTATAACAGGAGATCCACGGCATGAAAGTGCACCTGAAAAATCAACCTGGACCAGAATCCCAAAGGAACGTTTTATCAACATTTTGTGGAATCCATGCCACGAAGAATTGAGGCTGTTTTGAGAGTAAAGTTGAGCAATTGTGAGTTTGATCCCTGATGGCTTAGAGCACAAGAGAACATAATTGTTCTCACTCTCTCTGAGTGGGTGGGATGGCCCTCTCTCCTCCTTTCACTCAGCATGCTTATGAACATGGGGGTCTATTAGCTGACATAACTAAATTGACAATTAGCTTTCTTCTCCTAGCATGTTGAGCTATTCAGTGATGTTGCGTTATCAGTTTAGCAGTTAGCACTTCATGTGTCTTGGAGGAAGAACATGTTAGTCTTCACCCTCCCACCTTGGCAGCATCATGTGTTGCGGGGAGACTTAGCTAGGGGAATTGGTCATGACTAAACTTAGGAGAAAATTTGGCAAAGTCATTGTAGTCATTCAAAATTCTGAGCTGTCAGGTCAGATTGGTAGGAGTGTTGTTATGTTTTTATGGATTGATGTTACAAACTTGACATGAAACTTGACATCAATCCTGATTTAAATTTTGTTGTTTTAAAAGAGGGGCGTGCAGAACAACTGATCTTACAAAAAAATATTCTTCCGCAAGTGGCTTGCAATGACAAATTTCTACCAGTGAGGTCTCCAGGTTCCCAAATTTTCATAGCGATGCTTTACGTATCCAGTACTTTTCTAATTTTGTTGCTAAATCACCCTTCTATTTTATTGCCAAATCATCCTTCTACTTTTTTTTAACACCTTGTTTGAAGGTGAAGTTGTGACAACCTTGAGTCATTGTTTTATATTATTTTCCAGGTGAGAAAGAAATTGCACGGGAGTTGGAGGAGCTCTATGGAGACATTGATGCTCTGGAGTTCTATCCAGCTCTGTTGCTGGAGAAAACCCGGCCTGACGCCATATTTGGAGAGAGCATGGTGGAAATGGGGGCACCATTTTCTCTGAAAGGCCTTCTGGGAAATCCCATATGTTCACCAGAGTACTGGAAGGCCAGTACGTTTGGGGGTCAAACGGGTTTTGACATAGTCAACTCTGCAACACTGCAGAGGCTGGTTTGCCTCAATACTAAATGGTGCCCATACGTGTCCTTCCATGTTCCTCCATCGGGCTCTCATCAACACGAAAGTGGACCTCATTCTGAATTGTAGCCAAAATGAAGAACAAGAGATTCTACACCAGATAGAACTGTGATGTTAGAACTATGCTGTCAGGATTGCTCTGTCAGACTTCACCAAATGTTTGTTTACATATTCTGCAGACATAATTCATTGAGTTAATATTGTAGTCATATTCAACGAGTATATTGAAATCTCTAATACAGTTCTGGCCACCGTTATGGGCACCCTTTTCTTTTTATATACATTTACAGTATCTTCAGAAATAAATGGAAATATACCAAATTTTTATCTTTAGAATATTTTAATGGGTCTAAAGTTATAAAACATGTCTTTTCAACTTGTAGGAAGTGATTTTAAACAAAACATGACATGGACAGTATTAATGGCACCCTTTCCTAATATTTTGTTGCGTACCCTTTAGCATCCATGACAGCCTCCAAACATTTCTGGTAGCCATGTACAAGCTTCTTGCACTGGTCTGCTGGTAGTTTTTTCCACTCCTCCACTGCAAACCTTTCAAGCTCTTGGATGTTTGCAGTGTGTCTCTTCCCTATGGCAGATTTGAGCTGTCTCAAAAGATTTTCAATGGGGTTTAATCAGGACGCATTGCTGGCCAGTTTAAAACAGTCCACTTCTTCCTTCGCAACCATTCTGTTGTGCTTTTTGATGTGTGCTTTGGGTCTTTATTAGGCTGGAGGACCCATAATCTTCGATCCAGACCTAGCTGCTTTACACAAGGTAGCACATTTCGCTCCTTGATAATCTTCCGATCTCATTATTTCGCTAATTCAGTTAAGGCCTTCAGTACCTGAGGCAGCAAAGCTGCCCAACAGCATTATGAATCCACCACCATGTTTGACTGTAGATAGGGTGTTCTTCTGCTTATAAACTTAATTTCATCTCCTATAAACAAATTGTTGGTCTGCATATCCAAAGAGCTCTATTTTTGTTTGGTCTGTTCACAAAACATTTGCCTAAAAGGATTGCGGTTTGTCTTGGTACACTTTGGCAAATTTGTAACATCTGAAGAGCTACCTTTAGCTCCTTAGATGTTACACGTGGTGTTTCTTCCAAGGTTCGCAGCAACCTTCGAAGACTTTTCTCACTGATTTTCCTCTTTGACCCGCATCCTAGGAGGTTCTTGACAGTTCCATGAGCAATAAACTTCTTAATTACATTACACCCTTTTCAAAGGACTTTGGAAATGGCCTTGTACCCTTTACCATTCTTGTGTTTGGAGACAATAACACTACTGATACTCTCAGACAGCTCCTTTGTGAAAAGGGATCAGGGAAAGTAAAGTGGCCATTTTAAGCGTTTAAGCCATCATTCATTGGTTAATTCAAGTCATATGAGCCCTTATTTATCACAGGTGATTCTAAATTCTAATTAATTACAGGTGAGTCTAATACAGTCTAATCTGAACGTAACTCATCATAAGGGTGCCCATAACTTGTCATGTCCATATTTCCATTTTTATACGTTTTTTATTTTGTTGTATATTGACCAAAGATGTTTCACAACACATTTTTATTTTAGGAAATATTGTGATTTATGTACTTAAAATTCAGGGGTGCCAAAAATGGTGGCCAGAACTATACGTAGCAAGTGAGCTTCCTCAAGCTTGTTTATGTAGAGCAAAGTAGAACAGAGATGAATGTAATGAGATGAGATGAGATAAAAGCTAGTTACCAATGAAAAGGCCAGGTTTGGGACCAGTGTCCCCAAAGCACTATAGTATGATCATTATGTTACATGTCATGTTGGAAGAAAGCCACCATGAAGCAGCAGAAACATCAAAGAGTATATGGTAATGCTACTTAGAAGTTTTTTTTTGTTTTTTTTTGCAGTTGAACCCCTGATATTAGAGGTTTTAGTAAGAGTGAAGAAAAAAAACATTTGTTTATTGCTTGTTTTCATGTGAGGCGGTCTGATGGTGTTGAGGTCAGGGTTTTGGAGCCATGCCCAGTAGTGATTTTTTTTTTCTTTTTTTGGTATAAGAACACATGTGAAACACGTTGTAAATCACTTACTTTACAGTCAGCTATGATGCTAAAGATTTCCAACATACTATTAGCTGCTGTTAATCACAGTTTTCCGTCCTGTTAAGCAGTAATTATTCATGGATGTCAAAAGTATTCATGTGTAGGATGTTGATTTTTGATGAGTGATAGCTGCCACTGAATCATGTTTATCAGACGATGCACTGATCAGCTTCTTAAATGTGATCTGTCAGGACCAACAATTTGTATAAATTTAACTGAATGGTCATTCAGGCGTTTTGGTCCTTTTATTTCTCAAGCTGTCTGCAACTGCCCATAAAAACCAAAGAGCTACTTGTGATTATCTACAGCTTGGGACATCATTTGATGATGTTTATTTCTTTTTTTGTGTGTCTTTTGTGTTTTTTGTTCATTTGAGAATATGTTACTGTAGTTATTTCTTCACTTACAGTTTTTGTACAATTGCCAACAAGCATTTTCAGTACTAGATTGTCTTTTTTCAACAATCTTTAGCACAACTGCTGTTAGGACCAAACCATGAAGTTTTTTCCATGCTTGAATACAAAATACATCACAGTTGATCACAAGTGACCACAGTTTCCCAAATCCTTTCATTCACTTCTCACTCAGCCTTTAACAAAAATGTATATTTCTGTAGCTCAGTTTGTAAATATTTGCATAAACTGTTACAAAACACTGGAATCTAAAATGAAAATAAACTGTTTATCGATTAGCTAAGTCACAAATACTATGTGAGACAATGAAATCTTCAAAAAGTATAATGGTTATAGAGAAAACTGCTGACTGAATGTATGTAAATAGGCCGTTTGCCATCTGTGCTGAGATCCTACCCAGGTGTTGACCATCTATAAAAAAAAGGTATCTTTGACTTTTTTCTTTGCTAGATAATATAAAATATCGGATTTGTTAGTTTTTTATCACTTTATTTGTTAATATAGTGAAGATGCACTGTTCTGTTTTGTTTTTCTGATGTTAAAAACATAACTAAGAAAAAAGGTTTTGTCAGTTTAACCTATATTATTTCATGTGGTAACAAGCAATTTAACTGGTTTTATTCAGCTCAGATAAATGCATTTACTGAATCAATACAAAGCAATATTTTAGTTCAGATGACCAATATCAATATTTTACCTCAATTCAAACCTCAGTAACACTTCAAATCAGTTTCTGCCCTGTTCTCTTTTTACAGTGATGTTTACATCATCAGCCAAAGAATACTAAACCAATTACAATGTGAAACAAAATAACTCTTTATTACTTCATAGATTTAAATAAAATAGTGGATCTTCCATGATGTTATTAGTTGTTTAGTTGTTAGTGTTTCTGATGTGACTGTGCTTTAATTGGCAAAGTGTTGTTGTTGAAGGATCACTAGTGTTGATGTTTTGATAGAATGAGTTTATTTTGAGATGTTTCTGCTGTGTTTTTGTAGCTGGTGATCATGTAGGCTATAAAATGAACCGTTTGGCCGCGCTGCATATTTCTGCAGAAAGAGGTCTGTGTTTCAAAAAGTAACCCTGGTACTGATTAATGCTTCTTAGCAATTGTAATAAGCTGTAAATGAAAAAAGTCTTGCCAATAAAATTCATAGATTATGGACCCTGAAAAAGTATGTGTAGAAAGCATTTTTCACAAAAACTGGTCTACATCTCACTGCAGGTTTAATTATGTTTAACTCACCCTCAGGCTTCTGTGCATAGAATATTTTCTCTGTAAAATATTCATATGTTTGAAATTTGTTGCAGCTGTATGTATTTAATTGCTACCTGGAAAAACAGTGTTTGGGAACAAATAAGATGTCAACACAAAGTTTTATTAATCGTTTCTCTGTATTACAAATGAAAAGAAATGTTGGCTGGCACTGACATGAATTACAGGTATGTTAAGACCGATGTGTAATATTGATAAATAAACATCACAGAAACAATGAGTAGTGTCAGTATAGCCTTTGGTAAATGCAAATGTAACAGTCAACGTTGGTGTGCACTAGAAAAATTCTCCTAACTGCAAGATTCAAGACATCCTTTTCTCACTCAACCACCATTAATGAGAATAGTACTACTTATGATTATGATTACTACTGAGCATATGAGTTATGATTGTCCTCTAAAAGCAGAAGTTCCATCCATGCTCTATCACTACTGCATTAAAGTGAAAGTGCTACATTAAAACTTTAATAAAACAGTTCTTTGTCATTTCTGAAGTACATGTACACACAAAACAACAACTTTAAAAATGGTTTAAAAGTGATAATATATTCTTGGCATTAGCAGAGAATCCACAGCAACTGTTACCATCAAGCCTGATTAGAGAATTTCCCATAGGCTATATTTCAGTTTTGCTCCTCAGAAGAAGTATCTCATGAACTCATTCTACAACCAGTGTTGTAAGAAACTTGAGAAGCATAAAAACAACAGAAAGAGACAAAAAAAGTAACAGCACCTTTTTTAGGAGAAAAAAAGAAACCTTAGCAAAAGCCTCCCCACTCAAATGATCTACATACCCCTGTCGTAACAAAAACCTGTATCTCCAAAATGATAACTTTATAGAAGAAGGAAAAAAACGTTTATTAAAAATTACTTGAATACACGTTAATGTAATAAGATTTTATTTCAAGTCAAATTCTAAATAATTTCTATTGATGCTTTTGTCGTGGAATGTTCATCGAATGTACCGTTAAAAAAATGGTGTTTTAACTTAGAAAGGTAACCAGGCTGCCTTCAAATTTTGAGTTTCTTTAAGTTTCAAATAGGTTAAAAGAGGTTAAAGTTCAATTAAGAAGTTCCAGTCAAAAAAAACCTGGAGAGTCTGGTTACTTATTTATGTTAAAACAAGTCTTTTTAACAGTGTGTAAAAAGTTATATAGTACATATTGTAGTATATTGTGGAATATTGTAACTATACAACAAAGTTATATAGTTACAAAGTTTTAATATGACAATGACTGTGTCCTCAGAAAATAGTGCTCTAATGAGTTAGTGAGTCATCATAAGCCCTGTCAAAAGTTCATTTCCCATGATGAGCAGAAGGAGCCATTTGATCATGCTCAAGCCTGGTGCTGTTCTGAGGCCCCAGGGGCCCAAACGCAGAGCTGCCAGTGGGACCCCCAGAGGCGGAGGCTGAGGGGTAGAAGTGAACGTCCACAGCCACAGAGGTCGTGCCCAGGGACACGCAGTGGGACAAGAGGAGAGGGGAGGAGCCATGGGAAATGTTGATGCTGTGGTGGACTGGGGTGGCGCATGGCTCGCTGGTCTGCAGGGTCAGTGAGGAGCGCAGGCCCTCCTCCTGAGAAGCTGGCGGGTTGGGCGGGGGTGGGGAAGGGGCATCCTGGCATTGTCCGAAATCTCGGCTTCTCCAATCCTCCATGCACTGGAGCTGGATGTCAGACTGGGGGGAGGGGGTGACCTTTCTTTCTTCAAAGGAAGTCTCCAACTGATGCAAAGAGGTGAAGGCACAGATCACTGCATTATGTTATATCATAATGCTCTTGCAACATGACAGTTGTTTCAAGAATTCTCTCTGGGATGACTGTGCTAGGGAAGTGTGATGTAATCACACTTGTTGGGTAAGGTGTTTAAAGCTGTGTGTCTGTCTGTTGCCAAGAACATTAAAGGGGACCTATTATGCTCATTTTCAATGTTCATAATTTTAATTTCGGGGTCTACTAGAATAGATCTTCATGCTTCAGTGCTCAAAAAACAAATTCTTTATCTAATACTGTATATCTCTATTCACCCTCTGTCTGAAACGGTCTGTTAGAGCTGCTGTGTCTTAAAGTCTCTCTCCCGATGAGACCAGTGTGCTCTGATTAGTCAACTTGCCCTCTTTGTTCTGATTGGAAACACTGCCTGAGTGGCTCCGCCCTTACACATTCTACCCCTGTCTTGCAGCCTGCAGGCAGACCCTTCTGTCCTGAGCAGCTGTAAACACCAGTGTGACTATTTTTTTCAGTGGTGGCGGTTCTGCTGTATCAGTTTGAACCAGAGTCCTGAAAGTCAGGTCAGCATTTTCCCGATACACCAATCAGCCATAACATTAAAACCACCTCCTTGTTTCAACACTCATCCATTTTATCAGCTCCACTTACCATGTAGGTGCAGTTTGTAGCTCTACAGTTAGAGACTGTAGTCCATCTGTTTCTCTGCTTACTTTGTTAGCCTCCTTTTACCCTGTCCTTCAATGGTCAGGACCACCACAGATTCATTATCATTTGGGTGGTGGATCATTCTCAGCACTGCAGTGGCACTAATGTGATGGTGGCTTGTTAGTGTGTGCTGTGCTGGTATAAGTGGATCAGACACAGCAGTGCTGCTGGAGTTTTTAAACACTGTGTCCACTTAATGTCCAGTCTATAAGATACATATACCACATTTGTCCACCTTGTAGATGTAGACTGAGTAGCTCATCTGCTGCTGCACAGTTTGTGTTAGTCATGCTTTAGTCTTTCATCAGTATTCACAGGCTGCGGCCCACAGGGCACTGTTGGCTGGATGTTTTTGATTGGTGGACTATTCTTAGTCCAGCAGAGACATTGAGGTGTGTAAAAATTCTAGCAGCACTGCATTAATGTCACTGCATCAACGTCCACATCAATGTCACTGCAGTACTGAGAATGATCCACCACTCAACAAATACCTACGCTAGGGTGGTCCTGTGGGGGTCCTGAACATTGAACATTTTGTATTAAAAGTAACACAATGTGTGTTGTCCTCAACTAGACACACATGTGTGTCTAGCTAAGGACACACTGTGTTCTTTAACATTCTACTCAAGTTTAATTACATTCTTCGATAGTTACTTCATACTCCAGACTTACAAACACATTTGTGAAATTAAAGTCACTGACCTGCTCCTCCTCAGAGGGCTCAGGGTGTGTCTCCACTATCACTGGCAGGTCCTGGATGGGCTGCACTTCCTCTTGGACATCATCATAAGATGGTTCCATCAACAAGGTGGATGGACTGGACCCTGGGGGATGGGCTCTCGTCTCAGAAGTGTTTGGACTTTGCTCAATTACTGCAACCATATTGTCATCCTCAAAAGCCCTGAAGGAAACATCAGCTTACATGTTAGAAAGTAACTGTGTATTACATGTTTTGTGTATATACACACAAAATTATTTTTTTCTTTGTGCGGTGCCACTTTTGGTAGTCGTGGGCTGGAGGTTAGGGAACCAGCCTTTTGACCGGAAGGTCACTGGTTTGATCCCCTCAGCCGACAGTGCGTGACTGAAGTGCCCTTGAGCAAGGCACCTAACTCCCAGCTGCTCCCCAGGCGCCGTGGATAGGGCTGCCCTCCGCTCCGGGCAAGTGTGCTCGCTGCCCCCCAGTGTGTGTGTTCACTAGTGTGCATGTACGTGGGTGTTTCACTGCACAGATGGGTTAAATGCAGAGGTCTAATTCCTCTGTGTGCAAACACAGTTGGCTAATGATTCTGAATTCAATTCAATAAAGAACCTTTAAATGGATGGTTAGAGAGCCATTTTTGTAAATGAGATGTGTGATTGTGAAAAAAGCTGAAAGAACCTCAATAAGGTGGGCTCAGAAAGGGTCTAGGAAAAACACTTGTATTTGCTAAAGAACCTTTAGATTATATGAAGGTGATTTAAGCCTTTAAAAGGTTCTTCTCACTCAGATAACTCTTTCAAACATGGTTCTTTAGGGAACCAAAATGGTCCCTTTGTGGCACTGTGTGATATCATTAAAAACCATTCAAATTCATATCATTAAAATCATCAAAACCCACTTGTTATCGTATGTCCTTTCAATTGCAAGACGTTCTCCATGCCTGCATGGACCACCCAGGCCTCTTAGAGCTGTAAGAGAGAGTGTACAGTAAGAGTAAGTGTGTAATTATGTTTATGACTGCATCTTATTGGAATGGCTGCACTTCCACAATTTACAAGTCAGTGCAAGTGCTAAGGGGCTGTCTCACCTGCTCGTCCCGTAGGTTTCGCTTCAGGGTCATTTTTCCGAAACAAAGAATAGAAAGCCATTGTGATGAAAATAAATGCCAAGGAAACTCCGACTCCTACTACAATGGGGATGTCATGTTTTTCAATCACAGGCAACCAACTCTGAGACTTTTTCTTTTCCCTGAAGATTCAAATAATAGGAAAAATAGGGTAATGCAAATGCAAAGGACTCACTCCTAAATCATGCCTTTATGACAGACACACTATTCGAAGTTATTAACAATGACAGCATGACTCTTACTCATTATGAAGTCTCCCAACAGCTAATATTATAAAGATGAAATCAAGAAGATTAAAAAGAAATTCAAACATAGACAAGGTCCTAATATATTACTGTGTGGTACCCCATCAAGAATCTCAAAATTTTGCACTTCGTAGCATAAAAAAAGCATAACACTTAGGAAAAAAGTCTGTAATGATGCATAATACACTACCTGGCATTATTGTCAGTGGTCCTCATAGGAGCCTTAGAAGTGTTTTTCTTCAGTGTTTCAACCAATTCTGTATTATTTGTCTGTGATGCTTTGGTAGCACTAAGTTGTTCAATGGGTTGACAACAGTTCTGGAATACTTCCACAGGTGCTGTGGTAGTGATACTATTTAAATCATAATCTGTGAATCTAGTGGTCTGGTTAAGACTATCAAGGACCTGAGCCAGTGAGCTGGAAGATGAATGGCTTGAGTTTGGGTGCTTTTCTGGACGTTGACTAATTTCCTCAGAGGACTGGGTGTATGCAGATTGCGGCTGGGCTTTTAGGCTTGGATCCAGGGTTGGCTGATCTGGATGCTGTGTGATTAGATTAGTGGGAGTATTATGTGGTTTGTTTTGTGTATTTGTTTCTAGGAGTTTGGAGTAAGAGCCTATAGGTTTGTAGGTCCTATCTATGTATTGCTGTGTTTCTTTCATGGTCATGTCATCATGAACAGTGATGGCTGTATAGGTGATATATGGGGTAGGGGTAGGAGCACTGACGGAACGTGTTGGGGAATCCTTCACATAAACATCTACGGCTGTAAGAGAGATGGAAAAACAAACGTTAAAACCAAAGATCTCTCCATTTTGTCATATGACCACAACTCATGCTTAATGAAGAAGCTGGATATATCATACTTGTGGTGTTAGCCAGCTGGTGAATAGGATCCTCTGTGTCTTTAGAAAACTTTAAATTGTTGTAAATGGTAGAATTTGTAGGTTCTTCTGAATTGATTCCTGGTATCTTTAAGATTTGTGAGAAAAAGAAACATAAAATTTGTGATTATGCATTGCAAGAAATATACAGAATATCACTGTCTCAAATACACAGAAGCACTGAAAGCTGATCAGAATAATGCTGTGGAGAAGTCTGCATGATGATGTTTGCACTTTTTATACAAAGATGAACAATAGCTGGAATCATTTTAATAGCAGCAATGACCAAATGTGATGGGAGTACAACACTGACTTCCACATGCTACTCACTGCAGATAACATGTCCTCTTCAGGATCAGCTTCAGGTCAAAGAAT